GAGAACTCAGCGGGAACTCAGGCAGCAGGCACGCCCTACTCCCAGCAGGAATAATCTTCAACCTCCAACTTCCCTAAAACTCCTATTGTCACGCCCTAAACCCAAGGACGGGAATACTTCCTGCAAGATACACCCTAATCCTGGATCCACGCTGGTGATTGAGCAGGGTCACCTTTCTCAAACACACAAGCAAGGTTGCAGCAAATTTCCAAGGCAAGTCCATTCAACATGGGGTATGCTGGCAAGGATTTCGATGCGTCATTCCTACTTGGTAATGGCCCTCAGCACCTCGACACTGTCTGGAGAATCTGCGGGGGAAGCCTTGTCTGTGGTGCCCTTTGTAGGACGTCTCTAATCCTAGAGTCCACTCTTTAGTAGATTGGGACACTCTGATTTTTCTTTTGTGCTCACTGTGGACACCTGGGCCTGGTGTGCCAGCAGCATCATCCATTTGTAGACCACCATCACCCCATGGCTCCCCAGCCCTGTGGGGTCAGTTCACCCCCGATCCAGCCTCTTACCCCTCTGATCCTCATTTATCCCTTTACCACCACCTTTTCCAAGATGCCAGATTCACGGAGGCACACAGAGTTTCAAATGTTACTCTTATGGTTTGGATGTGGGGGTCCCTCAAAGCTCCTTGTTAATGCAGAAATGTTCAGAGGTGGAGCGACTGGATCATGGGAGCTGTGGCCTGGGCAGTCCACCCTCCTTTGAATGGACTGACCGGGTGGTAACCATAGACAGGTGGACATGGCGGCAGGAGTGGGCCACTGCACTGGGAGTGTGTGTACTCTGCAGCCCCCCCACCCCTTGCACCCGTGGTGCCAGGAGGGGCGCATCCTCATCTGCTGTCCCCTTTACCCTTGGTCCACTGCCTCACCTTGGGTCCAGAGCAGTGGAGACCTCTGAATCCATGAGCCCCAGCAAACTTTTCCTCCTCCAAGTTGTTCAGCTATTTTGGTCACAGCTGAGACAGAGGCCAGATGACAAACGACCTGAAAAGACCCCAGGAAAGAAGAGCACAGATGGCGTCCAAAGAGGTGAAAATGGCTGCACACAGGAGCAATCACTGAGGTGCAGAACTTCAGCCAGCAGCCAGCTCTGCACACATGGGTCACCTAGTGACTGTGCATCTGACCCCAGAGGCCAGCTCTGCACACCTGGGTCATCTAGCGACCCTGCGTCTGACCTCAGTGGCCAGTTCT